ATACACTTAATGAATGCTAAGAGACATTCCAAAGTACAGAAGGACATTTTATGAGAAGCCAGTGTATCTGTAGCCTCTGATCACCCACCTCGATGGGAGACCACTATTGCCTGTTTTTAGTTTCCCCAGAGAGTTCTTCTAGATTCTACCATTTTTTTTTTTTTTAGCCTGAGTGGTCCCCCCCCGCACCCCCGTGACATTTGGCAATGTTTGGTGACATTTTTATTGTCACTCCTGGGATGTGGGTGCTACTGGCATTTAGTTGGGTAGAGATGAAGAGCTGAAGGATGCTGCTACATGTCCTAAAACACATAGGACAGCTCTGCTCCACCCCGCCCTTTGCTCCAGCCACAATAAAGATTCATCTGGGCCCCAAATGTCAGTAGTGACAATGTTGAGAAACCTTGAGAATACATAATATTCAGATCTATATTCCATTTCCTCCTTTTCTCCCCGACACCAGTGCTAAGGTGCTCTGCTCATGCCTGCCTTTTCATTAAATGGGTTGGCTTTTCCCATCAATGCATAGAAATCTACCTTAGTTCTATTTTAGCAGCTTTATTAATTCCATCAAAGGTAAGCTGTTAAATTTATTCAGGCACCTTGCTTGTTGACTCTAGGTTTTCTGGGGGTTTTTTTGCCGTTGAAAACAGCTGCACTGAGGGCCCTTTTGCCCATGTGGGAGAGTATCCATCGGATAAATTCCTAGAAGTGGAGCTGAGGGTCAGAGGCCATGTGCGGTTGATATTTTGAGAGGTATTGCCCAATTGCCCTCTCAAGAGGTTGTTCTGATTTATGTTCCCTCCAGAAATGTAAGAATGTGCCTCTTTCTCTAGCACGGATATTTTTTATCCCTTGTTTCCATTTATAGCCTAAGCTGTCTTCATATCAGCTGAAAAGTTCAAAATGTTGGCAGCAAGGGTGGATTCTGAAGATACTCCTGATATAGAAGGGCAGGGGTGGAAGAAGCCCTGATAAGCTACTATGAGCTAAACGAGAAAGTGAAGCTCTCCTTTTTCTCCCTGCGGAGGAGAGGAAAGTCAGAATGCACTGAGAGTTTCGAGAAAGATAATTACATTTGGCTAAACTCCTAAAGGTCTGCTCCCAGGGCCTGGTCCCAGCCTCCCGGCATTTGGTGGTTTATTTCAACAAAAATAAACACAGTGGTTGTCTACTGAGCAGAGATGAGGGGTTTTACCTTCTTGGCATTCTTCTTGATGATGAGTGTTTCAGAGTTAAGTCTTTTAAGGCTAAAGTTGTAAGGGGTTACGTTTATTGTAGGCGCACATGTAGGCACAGACACAGGTGCACATGGGTCTTGGTTACTCTGACGAGGTCTCAGTCTTTTTTCTGTGAACCCTAAGGTGTACAAGGGTGTGCTACTCCTAACACAGACATGCAGGAATTAAGGCAAGTTGTGAGTGTTCTTTACTCCTGTAGAAGATTGGTCTGATACAGGGCTTCTCAGTCGTAGCTGCCAATTAGAATCACCTGGGCAGTTTGTAAAAGGCTGATAACCCTGGGCTTCCCACAGGCCAGTTAAGTCAGACTCCCACATGGGGCCCAGGCATCAGGATTTTCTAAAGCACTTGGACAGTTTCACTGTGCAGCCCATGTTAGCAGTTACTGGACTAGTACAGGAGATGGCGGATTTTATAGCTTTCAAGTCAAATCTGGCCCTTTGCCTGTGTTTGTAAATAAAGTTTTATTGAAACACAGCTGCATGTATGTTTGTAGGCATGTTTGCAGCAGAGCCTCTATGGCCTGGAGAGCATGAAGTCTTCAGTTTCTGGATTTTTAATAGAATATATTTGTTGTTCTCTGTATATAGTAGATATTATTTTATAACTGTGGAATGTAATAGGCATACAGGAATGTTCTTAAAGACAGGACAAAAATGTCCCTCACGCAGCCCTCCTCTCCTTTTGACCGTTTTTCATGGGAAGTGTTTTTGGGAGATACTTCTTTTCCAGCTTTATGCTTAAGAAGGTGGCCTTTCCCACCCCTGGGATCCATTGTGCTGCTTCATGTCTGAGGGTGGAAATTACAAAACAGGCCTCATTTCCTTTTCCCTTTGCTGTCACATTTGCAGCTCAGCTGTGAAGTCCTTTCTTCCTGCTTATTCCAACTGCTCTTTCATCTGGGTTTTCTCTTTCCTTTCAGTGGTCCTTATTCTTTTTGATTTTTAGAGACAGAGCTTCACTTTGTTGCCCTTGGTAGAGTGCTATGGCATCACAGCTCACAGCAACCTCCAGCGATTCCCTTGCCTCAGCCTCCTGAGCAGCTGGGACTACAGGCGCCTGCCACAACGCCTGGCTATTTTTTTTTTTGTTGCAGTTTGGTCGGGGCCAGGTTTGAACCCTCCACCTTTGGTATATGGGGCTGGCGCCCTACTCACTGAGCCACAGGTGCCAGTGGTCCTTATTCTCTTATCCCCTTGCTGTTTTATCGCTACCTTAACTCTATACGTTCTCTTTGTAAGCTGCTTCAAATTTTTTGCAGACAGAGAATAAGAGATTGTTTTCTAGATGTACCCAGTAAATTTGACTCAGTGTTCTTTTCCTTCTCAGAGGCGGCTGCATTCACACCGCCTTCTCTTGAAGGTCTGCTGTCTTGTCTGATAGGCCCCCGATCGACACGCATGTACACCTGTGCCCCGGCACACGCACACACACGCTCTCCCACACAGATAGACACATACACATATGCATGTATTTGGTGTTTTTAATTTTAGGGATGGCATCTCTGCTTGCTTTGAGTATTCACTTCTGGATTCTCCTGAGGTGGGTGGCAACCCCTAAGTGTGTTTTAGGAAAAGAAAGAGTTAGACGGGCGGCACCTGTGGCTCAAAGGAGTAGGGCACCGGCCCCATGTACCGGAGGTGGCGGGTTCAAACCCAACCCTGGCCAAAAACTGCAAAAAAAAAAAAAAAAGAAAAGAAAAGAAAAGAAAGAGTCCATCCTTCCTGGCTGGGTGTGGTGGCTCACACCGGTAATCCCTCCCTTTTGGGAGGCTACTGTGGGAAGATGACTTGAAGCCGGGAGTTCAAGATCAGCATGGGCAGCGTAGGGAGATCCTGTCTCTACAAAATAATTAAAAGATAAGCTGAGGGCTGAGCCAGGAAGCATCACGTGGGCCCGGGAGTTGGAGGTTGCCAGTGATCTATGATCACATCACTGCACTCCAGCCTGGGGGACAGTGGGAGACCCTGTCTCTAAAAAAAGAAGAGAATCTTTCCTAATTGTACCTTGGTGGGAACATGGTTATGGTGATAAGATTAAGTTGGATAAATTATTGTTTCTGGCCACCTGTGAGTGCGCTGTGGGGAGTTTTGGGGTGGTGTTCCTGGCCACTTTGAGGGAACTAATTTCTGGGTATGCTGTATTAGAGAGTGCCCCCTTCCTGGGTGAACAGGAAGGTGTTTGGGTTGTGCTAAATTATTAAGAGAGGAGACAGTGAAGGCTCAGCAGCCCCTCCAGTCCTTCCCTCAGGCTCTTTTAACAGCCCAAGGAGAGAGGTACCCTGATACATGTCCTTTGGTGTGGAGGGAGCAGGAAGGTGAAGGGAAGTCTGGGGAGTGAGCTCATAGCTGCAGGGCACAGCCTTAGAGGGGCTGCTGCTCTTTGGATGCCACCTGCTTTCTGGCCTGTTTCTGGGATTGGCTGGGGTAGGACAAGTGCCCCACAGTCTCTGCTCTGGGTGGGTTAGAGGGGAGGCCAGACACGGATGCAAAGTAAAAGTGTGCTCCGCCTACGGAGTCTCTCATTGCTTTCTGGACCTTGCGGCCACCTAATTTCCCTCCCTTTGTGCATTTTTGGGGCAGCAGAGGAGGCAGCAGAGGAGGGAGGTGAGTGAGAAAGGAATTTGAGAAATGTAAGCTCAGTGGTCCCTTGGGAATCTGGCCCAGTTGGGCATATAAAGAGCCCTTGGGGCTCGGAGCCTGTGGCTCAAGTGGCTAAGGCACCAGCCACGTACACCCAAGGTGGCAGGTTCGAATCCAG